CTCCCTGTCTCTGATTCCCCACACAACCCCCTCTAAGCCTGACATCCGATCTACCTGTCTACTGGGGGCCCCCAAACCAGCACCTCGGTTACTTGTCCCTCTTCTGGACTCCACTTCTCTGGGTCCCACAGCCACTTGGACATCTCTTGGGCATTCAGCTAGCTCCTGAAATTTAACATGCCAACAGTCAGATCCATTCTCATTCATGCTCAATTTGTGAAAAAGCAGTCAAAGCAGGGGCTTAAGGCCACCAAGAAGTAATAAACTTCTGGGGAAAGAATTCAGTATTCCAAAAATGCATCCAAGCAGCTCATCCTGTTGTGTGCTGGGTATTGTGAATTACTTAGGAGAGGAGCACTTAACGTCTGCAGCAGTCTCACTTCAGTGCTGGATATCATCTTCATCCAAAGAGTAAAGGGTTCATCCCCCTGAACAGCCTCATTCTACCAAGGTCAGCCCTGGTCTCTGGCCCCACATCTAGCCACATTTGTTTTGGTTTTTGATTTTTGGGTTTTTTTTGAGACAGGGCACGATCATAGCTCACTGTAACTTTAAACTCCTGGGCTCAAGCAGTCCTCCTGCCTCAGCCTCTTAAGTAGCTGAGACTACACATGCGTACCACCACACCCTGCTTATGTTTTATTAGGGATGGGGTCTCTCTATGTTGCCCAAGCTGGTCTCAAACTCCTTGCCTCAAGCTATCCTCCTGCCTCAGCCTCCCAAAGTGCTGGGATTATAGCACCATGTCCTGCCCCCATGTTCAGTTTTTAAATCCTGACTCAAACGCCCCACATGCTCCTTCCTCTCCCACCAGCTCTACCACCAGCTACACCCAGTCCTCGCTGGCTCCGATTTGCAACTCCATCATTGCCTCCAAGATGAGGGCCCATCCTGGATCCCACCCCAATCCACACATTCTGTCCTCTACCATGAGTCACTTTCTTAAGCACAGAGCTGGAGGGATCACACTTCTGTTCACACGGTCTGGTGGCTCCCCATTGACTTTTAAATCTGGTCCAAGCTCCCTGCTTACAAGTCAAAGTCCTCCTTAATGGGACCCAGTCTAGCTACCTCCCAGATCCATTGTTCACCACCCACTCCTCACATAGAATCTGGGCTCTAGCCAAACTGGACCTCTTGCCATCTGGGGACATATGATCACTCTGCCCAAAATAACCTGCCCCTATCCCCACCTGTTAAGATCCATCCTTAAAGGATTATTCAGTAAATAGTACTCGAACAATTGGTTCATCATTTGAAGGATATTTTAAATTCTTCACTTCATACTCTATACCAAAATATATTCAAGATAAACTACAGTTAAATATACATATAAATAAAAATATAATCACACACATAAAAAATCAAACCAAAAATGTGATTACCGGATATATGAAACGGGAAAAGATCCTAAGCTTAAAAGCAAAGAATGAAATGTCAAAGGAAATAAGCAATAGATCTAACTCATTAAATAGAACCTGACTCATTGAAATCAAACTGATGAGAAATGAACAGAGGGATAAAGAGTCCTATGCATGAACTGAATGTTGGAGTCCCCTGTGCAAGGAAGCTGCATTAGAGGAGAAATCAGAAAGTTGTTTAGTTAGCAAGAAATTAGAGGATGAGTTGGGTGGACATTTTTTAGGAAAGTCAGGTGATACCTGACATTGCATTCCTTTCCTAGAGATTTGAAATTCCACATCTTCTCCAAGGATGGAAATGTTCAAGGCCCACAGTTTAGTGTCTTCCCCCGAACTCTCTTTCTCCTGGGAGCCTGATGTCAAATCCACCATATCTGCTGGCAACTCCCAAACCTGATCTCCACTATTTACCCCTCTCTGGACTCACCCAGAGTCCACATTTATTGAGCACTCACTGTAATTAGGCATTATGCTAAACATTTTTTAAGGATTAAAAAACAATCCTACAAGGTATTTTTTTTAGTGCAGATGTCCCCAACATCCTCATTAATTCCTCTCTTTTAAAAAAAACTATTTTATTGAGGTACAATTTTCCTACAATAAATACATTTTAATGGGCTTTGGCAGATCTGTGAAACCACTACCACAAAGAAAATACAGAACATTTCCATCATCCATAAAAATTTCTTTGTGCTTCCCTTTCCAATCTATTTCTCCCTCTATGTCTGGGCCCAGGCAACTACTGGCTTGCTTTCTGACATATACACATATTTTCTTTTCTAGACTTTCGTGTAAATGGAGTCATACAGTATATTCCATATGTACATTCTTTCACTTCCCTTCGGTAAATACCTAGAAGTGGAACAGTTGGGCCCTATGATAGGTATATGTTTATAAGAAACTGCCAAACTGTTTTCCAAAGTGTTTACACCATTTTACAGTCCCATCAGCAGTGTATGAGAGCTCCAGTTTCTCCACATCTTTTCTGTCACCCAGGCTGGAGTGCAGTGGCACAGTCATAATTCACTGCAACCTCCAACTCCTGGGTTCAAGTGATCCTCCTGCCTCAACCTCCAGAGTGGCTGGGACTACAGGTGCATACCATCACACTCGGTTATGTTTTTTTTGTACAGATGGGGTTTAGCTATGTTGCCTAGGTTGGTCTCCATCTCCTGGCCTCAAGCAATCCTCCTGCCTCAGCCTCCTATGTGCTGAAATTACAAGCATGAGCCACCACACCCAGCTGATGTTAGTGTTTTTAATTTTAGCCATTCTAGTTGATGTTTAGTGATATTTCATTGTGACTTTAGTTTACATTTACCTAATGAAGAATAATGCTGAGCATTGTTTTGTGTGCTTATTGGCTATTGCGTATCTATTTCAGCAGAAACGTCTGTTAAAATCTTTTGTTCGTTTTTTATATTGGGTTGTCTTATCGAGTTTTAAGTGTCTTTATATATTCAGGACACAAGTCCTTTGTCAGATTCATTATCTATTAATAGTTACATTTAAGGATAAGGAAACTTTGGCTTGGGAAAATTAAATTAACTGATCAAAGTCACACAGATCCAAACCTGGACAGTGTGACTGCAGAGCCTGCTTTTTAACACTTTTCCAATACTGCGTCTTATTACACTTCAGCGCTCACAGCAAAAAGACCCCATAGGAATTATTCACATTTTGTTGGTAAGAAACTAGAGCTTGGCAGGGTCAATTTCTTTAACCACTTTAATATAGCTGGCAATCATGGGGACAGCAAGAGATCGGGATCTTTAGATCTGAATCTCACCTCATTCTAAACCATCTTCTACACTGTCCTCACAGTGATCTTTCTAAAATGTGAATCTGATCACATATGAGTCTCCAAACTCTGGGGCACTAAATCCCTGTGTTACAGATGGCCTTCTTTGGATCTATAGATAGATCCTATCCTATCCTCCAGTGTCATCTAGGACCACTCCTCAAGCACACACACACACCCAGTTTCTCTGAGTTTCCAGGGTCAGGCCCTGGGTGCCTCTGCACTGCCTTCTCCTGTGCTGGAAACACTCTTCTCCAGAGTCACTGGGCCAACTACAACTTGTCCTTCAGACTCAATTCATGCCTTCTCCTGGTAGCCCCACAGGCCGATCAGAACCCACTTCTGGAGGCTCTCAAGAATCCCTCTCACCTCAGTCACCTAGAGCGTATAGACTGTGTCCCCAGCACACAGCCAAGGCAGATGGCGGGCTCCCACGTGTGCTGAGCTAACACTGTTACAGCCCAACCAGATTCACTGCCCACTTCTCAAGAGGAAGCCAATACACTGAGACAGCAGGAGCTACAGCAGAGAAAGAGTTTAATATCGCAGGCACCATGCAAAGAGATTGGAGGAATTTCTCAAATCCATCTCCCCAAAAATTTGGGAGAAAGGGTTTTTAAAGATAGTTTGGCAGGCAAAGGGCTAGGGAATTGGGTCTGCTGATTGGCTGGGGATGAACTCATAGGGTCAGGAAGCAGCAATTGTCTTCTTGCACTGAGTCAGTTCCCTGGTAGCAAGATCAGTCGAGTTGGTTCCTTGGTATGGGCCACTGGTCTGGTTGGGTCAGGTGGTCCACTGGAATGCAGGGTCTGGAAGATATGTCAAAGACCAGCCTTAGGTTTCACAAGGGTTCTGTCATCTATGAAAGCAATGAAGAAAGCTAAGAAACTTTAAGACCATCACCTATGTGACTCCTGAGTAGTAAGCAATTATAGGGAAGCAAGCTAGGGAACAATAGCTGGAGATATGTGTGTGTGTGTGTGTGTGTGTACACACACACACACACACACACACACACACACATATATATATATATATTTTTTTTTTTTTTTTTTTTTTTTTAACTATGCCTGTACCTTTGCAGACTTCAGGCCCCTATCACTGTTCCCACCTTACGGCCTTTTATTAACTTTATA